AGAAATAAGTAATTTTCCAAGTAGTGCTTGTGTATTTCCTTTCTCTAGAGCTAATTTAAGTAGATCACTATTGGCTACTCCAAAACTGGATGGGAGAACTATCTCATCAGACATATCTACTCACAGGGGGTCCTCAGTGAGGAATTCATCTCCAAAGAGTATGAAAAACAGTGAACTGAGAGGACTCGAGGAGGCCCTCCCCCAGGGACATCTGTCGTGTTCCCAACTGAATGGAGATGCTGATAAAGTGATTTTCCCAGCATGATATGAAAATACGTGGCAGAGTAGGAAATGCCAACCCATCAGGTACAGGGACACCCACAGCCATAACCCTCCCTCCCCTTACCTTTATCCCTTCATAAATGTGTGTTTAGAGACCTTTAAAATACACATATATCTGATTTTTTCATATTATACCCTGCAGCATACAGGCACTTAGCTCCCATTGATTTCGGTACCTAAATGGGAGCTGTAGATCTAAAATTGTCTTTGAGGATGTAGCCTTTAGTTCTTGGTTATTGCTGAAAGCGAGAGTAGTTGCCCGTGCTCGGTACCTTTTAACGAGCTCAGTTAGCTTCATCTAATAGACTCAACAGCTCGCTGTTCCTGGGGAATCAATATTCTGGGCCAGATTCTACCTCGAGTCCTGCAATGCACATAGCTCTACTAAACTAATTTTTAAAATGTGAATTGTGTGTGCATATAGAATGTCATTATAATTTCCTGCCTTTTGAGTGGCTGGATGTGCAACTTTAATGTGCTCTTAATGTATTTTTAATGAGCTTTCCTAAGGCTTCTGAGTGGGAGAAAACGTTAAAAAAAAAAAAAAAAAAAAAAATCCATAATGTGGTCTAGACACTACTCAAATGACCCTTTTCCCACAAAAGTAAGAAACTCAACGGGGAATTCCTCCTCCTGAAAGCTGGGGAAGCTGTGCAGCTGCCGACGTGGAGGCAGCACGATTGAAGCAATAGTTCTTCTCGAGTCCAAACTCAGTTGCTGCACATACCACAAGACACGCAGCAGATGAGGCAAGGGCTGTCAGGCTACTTTATTTTTTTTACTGTCAGCTATGTATTTATGCACAGCACAACCTTCTCCACTCTGTATATTTCAAAGTGCTAAAAAATCATACCAATTGTACTCTGCATGCTCAAAGTGCAGATTTCAAAGGTTCATGACTCAGTCAAATCAAAATCAATTTGCACCAGAACACTCAAAAGCACTTCTTCTTACTGAGGGCCATTTCTATGCTAAATTTCAACTCTTTGCTTGATTTTATTATTTTTTTTGAGAGAGAAAGAGAGAGGGAAAAGTTGCAAAAAATTCTTGTAATGGTAAAAGTCGTTTACTTCACTTCTTTCATATGCCAAATAGTTGGACTGCATTAATTCAAACATAATTTCACCTTTTGGGCAGAGACCAGGCCAAGAAAATTTCACTCAGAAAGGTGAAAGCACAGCTGAATTAGAAGAAAAAATAACTTGGAAAAGTACATGAAAACTTAAATACTCTGATCAGTAATATTCCTGCTTCACTAGCTTCACTTAAATGGAAAAACATTCTATCTTATCCTATTGTAATAACTGCAGAGAACAGGGAACATGCATCACGTTTCATGACATTAATTTATATTAATCATTTGATGGCATGTTACGTTGATGATTTGCTGGCTCGGTCTCATCCAAGGGGTTTGAAATGTAAAATTGGTTCCTCATGGCCGTTCTTTCCCAACCCTGAAGCTCACTAAAACTTGGAGGACATGTCTATTCTGGGAAGTGCTGTGTATCGTGGAGGTTCCTGAGTGAGCTCAGAGGTGCAGGCTCCATTCGTTGAAGCAGAGGAGAGCTAAGTTTGGCTCAGCAGGATGCCCTAGAGGATGTGGAGCTTTCTGTTGCCTTGGCTAGATGGCTTCATACGCTCCATTGAGCTAGCTCCCATACTCTGTTTGCCACAGCCCCACTCAAGGCTTTATGGCTAATGGCCACTGGAGTAGTACTGTCTTACTCTACTGAAAATCAAATGCTTCTCCCCCTCCCACCTCCTTTGCTGGGGGAAGGCAGACAAAAAAGAAATCCTTCAGCATCTGCTCTAGCTGATGATTCTTAAGTGAAGGTGCTTTGACTGCCCATTATGGCAGCTTTTGGCTTCCCTTCACTCCAACTGTAGTGAAAAAAGAGCTCTATGAAGGTGTGTTAGCTGCCCATTATGGCAGGTTTTGGCTTCCTTTCACTCCAACTGTAGTGAAAAAAGAGCTCTATCATATCATAGAACCATTGAATTGCCTGGGTTGGAAGGGACCTTTCAGATGACAGTGTCCCACCATCAACCTAACACTGGCAAAACCCATCACTAAACCATATCACTATTTTAAATACCGATATGGTGTAGGAAGCCTGCTCTTGAAGACTTCTAAATTCTAGGCACCACCAAAGAATTACTGTTACTTGTTATTGCCTGTACTCCTCTATTTACGACTATTTATTCCAGAAGGCATATTTGAAACCAGAAGCGGGATGTAGGAAACTTTTAGTACTGTATTTTTCCAAGGAGTGTACAGGCAGAGTACAAAGTCTGTGATAAAATCTGAGATTAAGAGAAACTCAAACTGTCTGGATCTAAAATTTGACCTACTTTGAAGGTTGTCGCATATAACAGTTTAATTTACTGACCAACCAAATGTAGATGTATTGGTGTTCGTGTGCCGCAATAAAATTCTGTAAAGAACATGAAATGTGACAATGATCTTTGAAAAGCTAGGTTATAGAAGTGATATTACAAATTTTAGTAATGCTTTAAATTAAGTGTCTTCAATATGCTTAACCTTGCATTAAACTTAGATTTAATAAGACAGATGTGTATTAAGTACTGAATATACTTAAGGGAGCAATCTTGTGTTGGCAGGGGATGGACTCAATGACCTCCTAATAGTTCTCCTCCATCTCTAATTTCTATGATACTAATTGATTATTAAAACACTTTTATTGAGGATTGATATGTAGCTATTATATAGTTATTAATCTTACAACCCAACTGATATTTAATTTATACATGATTTTAACACACAATGTCATTTTAGTTTTTAAAGAGTAACCCTGGAACAGTGCATTCACTGGGGCTCTCAAAAATCTTGCTGGTAAATGAGGTTGGCGATTTTAGGGTTATTTGGAATTTTATGATAAAATCACACTTTTCAGGGGTGTAAGTTTACATAGCTCTCCACATTAAAAATGAAATGTTTGCCTCAGCTACAGCATTCCTCTGGAAAGACAAAGAAGCTTGTCATGAAGAAAGGTGCATTTATTTAGTTTAAATGCTATGTGATATTAGTACTGTGTAAGCTCAAACAACAGCTAAATTTTGAATATTTTAGAGGTAATCTGTCTATCTCAGTTTTGGAATTGGAAAGAAATTTCCCCAAACTGTGAAAGTGAAGGAAATGGTGCAGGGATTTTGAGCATTCAAAATTCATTTCTCTGAACGTTTGGCTAAGCAAAAAGCAGAAGTTTTGCAGAGCTGTGTTATTAATTCAGCCTGTATATGCCTAGGGCCATGGCTCATAATGGCATTCCTTTCTTTTTAACAGACTGTCAGGATTTTCAAAGGACATCCAGAAAGCCATAAGTGCCTATTTGTTGGATGTATTTCTCATACCCGAGAGGCTTTCTTTGATATGGACTGATCTTTTACATTTATGGATGGAAGTTGCATTAGAAAATGCCCTTTGTGAAAACCTATAATATCTCAAGAGTTGCAAACATCTGATTTTTGGCTAAGGAAGTATGAAGAGTGTCAGAACTCTGAATGCTTTTTAAAACAGGATTTTTCAAATCATTAGCAGCAAGCAAAATTATGAATAAATGCAAAACCTAATGCAAATATATACTAATGCTTACAAGTTCCTAGTGACTTTAAATGGAGTGAGGAGGGGGGGATAGGATGCTCATAGGATTTTGAGGGGTTTGTGCCTACTTTGTGATAAATATTTACATTCAACATATGTCTTTTGATGTCAAAAGTGTAACGACCAAGTTTTGTTTTTCAAGCAGAAGGCTGGAATGGCTCTGGGCAATCCTGCTTCAGCAGGGGAGTTGGACTAGATGATCTCTATGGTCCCTTCCAACTCTAGAAATTCAGTGAAATTCAGTGAAATTCAGTGAAATGCAGATGGAAAGGGCGCTAATGTCTGGGACACATTCACCCATCAGGGAGGAGATCGAGTTTTCAAGAACCAGACTGGTGATGTAGCTTGTGGCAGCTACACTCTGTGGGAGGAAGATTTGAAATGTATCAAACAGCTTGGATTGACTCATTATCGCTTTTCTCTTTCCTGGTCACGTCTGTTACCTGATGGGACGACAGGTTTCATCAACCAGAAAGGCAATTGTTTCTTAAAAATAGAAGGTTGCAGCTTTAATTCAAGGTTATTGCTGCAGTCTGGCATAATTAATCCAGTATGCTATTCTGCAGTGTAGCTTTGAAATTGGAACTTTTTTCAGAGTAATTATGGGATGATTTTTTATAGGTTTGCAACAACTTACTAATTAATATTCTAGATCCCCTTGGATAGCACAATCTTTTGGGATAGGATTAGTATTATGTTTCCTATGTATCTTTTTGCTTACTCTAGTTTTTTTAATTGTAACTCTAAATCATTTTGCTTCATCAGAATGTTTATACTTACAGGGATCCTAGGCACAGGGATATTTTTGGATGGCTTACAATAGACAAGTATCTTATTTGGGAAATGCATTTAGATAGTTTATCAGTATACCTCGATGTACTGAACTTCGCATTGACTATTTTGCACTGAGGGACATACTTTACCCAGATATTTTCTTTAGCAAATTAGAGGGGGCTCTTCAGACTCAGCTCGGAACTGTGCTTAGTTCTCTAACAAACACAAGACGGTCCCTATTCTGAAGAGTTTTCACAGTCCCAGCAGAAGATGTAAAAATGGAAAGGGATACAGCACATAAACAAGCTGGTCAGGTCGCTATAAGTTGGATATAAAATTTGCTACGCTTCTAATTTTTTTATTTTAATTCCATTGGTATGGACTGGGGGAAAGATGAAGGTGGCTTACTAGGAAAAGATAGGAAACAGCAGCTCTGCCTGCAGAAAGTAGGGAATGGAAGAACAAAGAAATAAAGAGAATTGTGAAGAATAAAAGCAACTGAAGCTGAACCAGAAAGGATGGGAGAATCATAGTATTTGGCTGAGGTCTCTTGTATGCTGGGAGGATAATGTTCCGAGGAGAAAAGGCAAAGACGATTTGGATGAACCTCTGAATCTCAGTTCTGCCTCCTACTCTTCTGAATCTCAGTTCTACCAAGAAGATATACGTCTTTATACATCTGGGGCGGCGTTTGCCTTGGCAATTCTTTTCTTCCCCTGGTTTGAAGATTACAAAGATGGAAGGCTACAAAAGGAAAGAATTTCTTAGAAAATGCTCTTCAGGTTATCCTGATCTGTCCTAGGAAGATACCAGCAGAAGCAATATTTTTCTGCAGAATTTTGGTCATGTAGAGTTTGGCTGTTCAATAGACATCAGCCTGTCCTCTGCATCCTGCAGATTACGGTTTTCACCAGAGAGTGGAGGAGCCTTTGTTTCAAGAATTCAGAAAGGTGGGGGGAGACTAGTGAATCTGCTGTAAACAGACCAACCAGCCATTTTCTCCTGCAGAGCATGACTGCAAAATCCCTGCCAGCACCCTGGAGAGGCTTGAATGGAAGCCTTCCCTTTGCCACCAACATTTACAATATGCGGCCCACTTTCACTGGCACAGCTTGCCTTTCCCTGGGAATGCCTTTTTTGTGGCATGTTGAATTTAAATTTGGCTGAGTCCTTGTGGTTTCTTTCCTTCAGCTGGGGCTGCAGGCTCTGTACAACCCCGTGGAGCTGCCTCCTGAATGACGGGCTTTGTTATTTAGGTGTCAGGGTGGGAGACAGCAAGCAGACATTCTGAATGCGCTTGGTAAGGAAAGCTAACATTTTGACAAAACTCAGCTGTAATTTCAGAAAATGTTCACTTGATCCCCAGTATAAGCAGTTCCCTGATTAATATTATGAACTTTACATTTAGCAAAAGGGCATTGGAGGAACTCCAAGTAGGCCAGCTTTCATTAGGCAGGAGTTCACTTCTCTTGTGCAGTGATCTGTTGAAGCAATTGTAACTGCATAGCATGGAAAGGCCATCATCTTCTATATAAACATTTTTACAAAGAGCATGCGAAGAATTAGAAAGCTTAGAGCAATGTCCTTTCAAATAAAATCATTCACACCAACTGATTCACTACCAATTTCACACCTAAGATGTAGGACATTTGAAAACCTTTAAAACCATTCTGTTTCTAACTCGGTGTGGGTAGGGTCTTTTAAAGCAGCAATGTTTTATCATAGAATCGTTCAGGTTGGAAAAGACCCTTGGGATCATCGAGTCCAACCATCAACCCTACTCTCTGAAGTTCTCCCCTACACCATATCCCCCAACACCACATCTAAATGACTCTAAAACACATTTAGGGATGGTGACTCAACCACCTCCCTGGGCAGCTTATTGCAGTGTCTGACCACTCTTTCTGTGAAGAATTGTTTCCTAATGTCCTGTCTAAACCTACCCTGTTGCAGCTTGAAGCCATTCCCTCTCATTCTATCACTAATTACCGGTGAGAAGAGACCAACCTCTCTACAATGTCCTTTCAAGTAGTTGTAGAGAGTGATGAGGTCTCCCCTCAGCCTCCTCTTCCTCAAACTAAACAGTCCCAGCTCCCTCAGTTGTAGGCTGCAGTATTGTTCCTAAGCCATGTCAGGTTTTAAGTTAAAACTTATACCGAGTTTGTTTTTAAAATATATTTGTGCAACTCTTTTTACCCTAGAAGGTGCCCTGAGCAGAAGGAGGTAGCTGCTAAACACCAGGTGTTGGTGTGGAGGGAGACAGAAGTAGTAGACGTGGGGGTATTGAGCCTGGGAAACATCGATGTTACACCTCTCTTCAGCATGAAGGTTGTGAATCAGAATGGGGAGGGAAGATGCCAGAAAGGAGAAAAGAACAATCCTTCACTTTCCAGTGACAAAATCCTCCTTAATGTCTGTAAATCCAAAATTTTGAGGTGTCTCCGCAAAACACACGTTCTGGGAAGGATGTGTTTTTCTGTATTTCTACTTCTATCTGACCCACAGATACAGCCATAGAAATTAAATCAGGCTCCTCTGGAAGTTATAAGACAATCTGGGAGTTTGACTTGTCATTTACATTTTTCAGGGGTGCAGTTCTGTTTATCTTAATTTCCTAACACAAAGTGTAAATCTTTTCCAATATTGGTGTTCAATTGAGATGTAAAAAATGAATGATAGCTGGTTGCACTTAAATGTTATAAACTATACTAAGTAATTCATAATCTGAAAATTAGAATGATATATACTAGTGTCTTTTAGGCAAGCATTACTCTCAATGTAGTAGAACAGGATCCTGTACCAGCAAAGGATTTCTTTTTTCGCAGTTTAAGCCTACGTAGTAAACTTTGCAGTCCCACCAGCAGCAGGTAACACACACCCAGCCCCACTGAAGCAAAATATGTCCCTGTTCAAAAGTAACACTAAAAAAACCCTCTATTTGCACCTAATTGCGCTTGCAAATAGCAAGAATTTACTTTTCTAAATTTAAAATTCTGGTATATTCCTTCCTCTTTTACATGAGTACATTCTCAGGCTCAAGCACGTATCTCCTCAAATTTAATGTGTTTTTCTGGTGCTGCATTTGGAAGGAAAAGAAAACTACCTGTGAGATTTATTGTGCCTTACTTTGTAAACAAACTTATAGACTCTTGCTGTGCTAAAGGATGTGTATGCACCTGTTTGTTTAGGAGAAGGCACTGTCTAAATCTGGGGGTTCATAATTGATTGCTGCAGTAAATGTTGTCTTAAAAAAGCCCTTTGATGGAAACCCATACGATCAGTCATTTGAAGTTAGGATAATATTTTCCTTTTAACAAGAAGGTAGTATAGGGTTCTGTGCTGGCATTTTTAAATATCAATACACAGTAAGATGAACCTGAAAATACCGGGGAATATATAATACATAATAATAATAAATAATACAATATAGTACAGACATATTTACTAATGAATAAGTTTTCTGCTTTGGATTAAACAAAATCCCTGGTTCAGAAACAATTAAGAATAATAATCTAACCCATACATAACCTTCTAAGCATACATTTTGTTAACTTTTGTAACTTAGTCTTCCTCCTCGTCCTTTCTTCTGTGTTTTCAACTTCTTTATACCTTTCTCAGTTCTGGGTTTCAATGCAGCAAGGCCTTGGGATGGACACTTCATAAGCACCTGTGTCTCATTAGGATATGTGGTAGTCTGAGACCCATTAAATTTTTATGGATTTTAGGTTTCTAATGTTCTTAAACACTTTGGTATATTTAGCCCAAGTCTCTGAAGCAAAGGCTGACTGATTTCTACATTCCACCAGCATGATGGAAACCTATTCCTGGCTGGAGCCTCTTAGCTTAACAAATAATAATTCAAGGCCACTGTTGGCCTTTTCCAATTACCGCACTAAACCAGATAGTTCAAGTAAAAGAGCAAGCTAATTGATACTCTTTGAACCAGAGCTTCTGATGTGTTTTGCAATATCCAGTGTTTTCAGAAGGCTTAGAAGCAATGTAGTTGTGTTTGGATGCAAGCAAAATTAGAAATGCCTATATGAGAGCTTAAGGTAGCCTAATATTTAAACTTACAGTGACCTCTCAGCAGCATAAAAATAGTCCTTTAGGAAACATTCATGTCAGCCACTGCTAAATCTGAGCAGAAGGTGAATTCCTTTTAAGCCTCTAGAAATACATCCTCAGTACTGGTCAGCTTTAGTAACACATCCAGGAAATTAAAGTTGATCTCTGTCTTATCAAGGGGGGACAAGAAAGGTTGGAAGTCATGAGGTTTTAGAGAGGTGAGCTAATTCCTTCTTGCAGTTAGAGGGACTGAGCAGTCTGCAGCAGTAGCAGTGTACAAGGAAGAGAGTTGGTTTCTTGGATAAACTATTGCCAAGTCATTCAAGCTGGTGGCTGAAGAGACCAGTGCCCTAAACTCCATCTAAAATCTAGTAAAGCCCAAAGAAAAGCCTTAAGTGTCATATAGATCTGTCGAGGGAACCACTGAATTCACACCTTTGCAAAATACTGAATGCATTGACAATACCCTCTTTTGTCTTGATGCTGGCCCAGAGGGTGATGGAGAATGGAACAGTCTAGAGAAAACAGCTCACCCAGCTAACCAAGTTCAGATCATAAAAGATCAGCTTATTTACCATGCTGAGTGTGGCACTAAACTTTTTAAAAGACACAGTTCTCAAGGAGAGCGATGCTTTCATTAGAACAAATCTACCTGTCAGGCTCTCAAGTGTCAGGATTTTTCTAACACGTTTTCGTCTTGTACATGCAGCCAGGCTGCCATTCAGGCATTTAAATGAAAGGATTATATTTTCATGTGACCAGCACCCATCAGAATTATGTTTCTCCTAGGGAGTTGCTGTCCACTGATCTATTTTGAAAATTTGCATCCTCATTTCATTTTATGTGCCCGGTTGGAAGATTTTGTGTGCTGAGCATTTTTGCCAACTCTGGGGTCTTGTAACAGTAGTCAGCATGCAGCTGAGAGGAAATATTTGCATCTCATATCAGAGAAAATGTGCAGTAAGGTTTCTTCATGTGTTAAAATGTAATAAAGTTGAGTTAACCCCTTTTTTTTTTCCTCTTCTAATATTTTCAAGAGTCAATTATTCCGGCAAAATCATTAATAACCTGGGAAATGGCGTCATGGTCCCTGTATCACTTTGGCTTACCTCAGTTCTTAGAAGATTAAAGTGCCTGGAGGTCTGAAAAGGTCACTGAGACCCTTGATATTCATGCAAAGTATTGCTTCAGAACATTTGGAGACTGAGTGACCACTATCAATGAACCTTATGTTGTTGCTATAGGTGGTTGTGAGAAAGGTATAGCCCCAGCATTGGTACCAGAGCTTACAAAGCAGCTTATAATGTGAAAAAAAAAGCTCAGGCTAAAGCCTGACACTGTTGCAAGAAGATATTTGGAGAAAACAACGTGGACTTGTGTCTATGGCTCTGAACTCAGATTGGTAGAACCTCTACAAATTCTGTAGCAGATGAAAAAGCAATTAAAAGGTGCTTGCCCTTTACCTTAGATGAGTTTGTCAGGTCAATGTTTACTGATGGTGACTATCCAGCTGTCATGAAGTCCCAGATTTCTACAATGCATTCAAAGCAGGGCTACTGATCATCGAGGCTTCTGGAATTTACTAAAGAGGAAAATATTATGATCATGGGTACTGCTGACTTCTTTGCTCTGAACTGTTAAACTTAAGACCAAGAAAATGCAGACAAGAGGCTAAGTGTTCCAATGGACTATGAAGCTGAGCAAATAACGGATCCCTCTTGGCCTGTTGCACCTGGGAGTTTATGGATGACTGTAGAACCATGGGGCTTGCTATGACTTCTGTGTTATATCAAGGAATGACCTAAGGCTCACAGGGCCTTTTTACCACTATTAGCTGGCCAATGAGGGGATCTGAGAATCCAATGAGTAATACTGGTGATTTGGGGTTTTTTTTGAGGAGCCCATCTGGATGGCGTAAGACATTGTACAAGATATAAATAAACAAGTCACCTTGGGATTCTTAATTTAATTTTTGCACGCTGGCTATAAAGAGTAAAAGCTTAGTGTTTTCCTATTGCCTTTGTACTTGATAGCTATTTTACAGTTTGAAATGACACACCAGTGTTATATCATCTTTTGAACTCCAGAAATGATCTTTCTGATGCCAGCAGTAAGGCTTTCCTGGCATGCGTCTACTCCTGGCAGTGGGGCATGTGATGACTGCCAGTACCAAGGGGTTAAGGAGCAGTGACAATAAGCAGATGCTAATGCAGGAAAGATATTTTAGTCTTCTCATTAAAATAAGTCATTTCACTGTCTTCATGGATATTTGCACAGTTTTGCTTTTCCATTGTTAGTCATAAAAGGTCAGCTCATGGAAAATTAAGTTAATAGGGTCAGTGCAATTTGATGAAAACTAGTTTTAGTTTGTAGCTTAGAAAAGATAGAGGGTAATGCATCTGATTTTATGGGCTTTCTTACATCTGTTCTGAATAAAACTTCTGCTCTCTTGTTCTAGGATACATATAATAACCCTATAATTTACATCACTGAGAATGGGTTTTCCCAAAGTGACCCTGCTCTACTTGATGACAGTCAACGATGGGAATATTTCAGGCTGATTTTACAGGAAATTTTAAAAGGTACCATTTAAAATGATGAAAGATCAATTGTGCAAACTTAATATAATTTTACTTGGTGCTTATTTGCATTCAGCAATGACCAATGATTCTTGAAGCTAAAACTCATGTAAATCAGAGTGAAATGATGTGATTAGAAAAAAAAAATATTTAGCTGAAATGAAAGCAAGTAGTTTTAATTCTGCTACCCAGCTTGGGGTGAAAACAGATTAAAAGGTGTTCCATACATATATTATCTCTAATCTCAGTTTTGTAGACCCATAGTTCTTCGTTGAGCCAGGAAACCACATCGATCTTCAAAAGTGCTCATCATTCGTACGCCTCATTATGAATGATGTAAAGTTGAGTGCACCTGAAAACCTGACCATTACTCCTCATAATATCCTTACAGAATACAGCCTCCCATACACAATGAGCTCTGTGTAATGATTCATCCCTGTACAGGGCCGTTAAGACATTATAGCTCAGCTTCTGCCCTTATGTCATGATGGCCAAAAGTGTTCAGCACTGCTGAAGCTCTTTTTTTTAAGAAGGTGCTTTACCATTCGTTTTGACAGAAACAAAGTTGGTCCATTTTCCAACCTTCTGGAAATTCCTTCCCTACCTTCCTTTTGTTGGTTTTGTGGGTAGTATTCTCTGAGGTAGTTCACAGGGAGTAGACCTCACTATGCATCAGATGAACTGTATTTTAAAATGCCATTTAATTTGTACAACAACTAGTCTCCCTGTTATATTTGTCCAAAGTGATCACAGTCATGAATGTCATATCACAGTTTAACAGGTTTTTTTAGACACTTTTCCATCTGCATTATTCTTCATACTTTCATTAAAATGTTCATTTAAAAGCTACCTTTCTTCTTCCTTTCCATTTAAAGTTGCAATTTACACTTGTCCCCCATGCCAATTAACTTTTTTTTTTCTTCAACTAAGTAGATGATGCAAAGGACTGTTTTCTGGTACCAAAACCAAGTGGTAGGGCCCTCTTCTGTCTGAAGCAGGCAGACCATCTTCTGGCTGCCTTTGGAGAGCCCTTCCTGGGCCATGCCCTGTCTGGCCCCAAGCCATGTCTGGAGAGTAATCGTTGGCATCAGACAGCAGTTTTGTCAAGGAATTTTGTTTACTTACAAGGCTGTAGACAGGATACCTGGTTTTTACTTTCTCTGAAGATGTAAAGAAATGAGTAAACATTCAGTTCTTACCGTTTGATGAAATGGGACTAATTTACCAAGTCTAGTTGTTTTACAATGTAAAATGGCTTATCCTGAAGTAAACAGCTGGAGTAGATCTGATGGATCACACCTTAGTGCATTCATGGACGCACTTCCCTTCATGCATAGTGAGGCAATGAAGGGAACCGTGAGATGGATGCCTATGTGGAAGACATCAAAAGTTGGGCAAAAGGAACCTTTGCCATTTGTTCAGTCCAACAAAGCTTTTAAAAATGTATGTGGTCTGACTGTCACCAGTGCAACCTTATACAGGTTTAGGTTTCGCAGTTCGACATCAAGTCGAATTGATGTTTATCGTTTTATCCAGTAAAAACCGTGGTGGAACACTGGTTCCACCTGTATGCAAGGACAATATAAATATTAAATCCATCAGCTCTATGGCACTCTGTGAAGAAATGCCAGTAACACTATCCCCATGTAACTTCCCTCCTGCTACTCTGCATAAAGAGTTTCTCAAGATCCCTCTGTATGCACTGACCCACGAACAAGCAACCATTTCAAGTTTTCAGCTCAGGTATCCTGCAAAGCAGGATATTAGAAGATGTTGACTTTGTTCAATGCTTAAATGCTTAACCATTTATTAAGTGTTATGTGAAGCAGAACAGTTTAATTGCTCGGCATACAGTGTCTACTTTACAATAATTCCTTATCTTTTGAGCTAACTTTTGAAATGATTAGTACAGGCTAATTCAGGCAACGAGCTCTGGGTCATGACAGGGGCCTGTGTGGATTCTCCTGTGGGATGTGGACATGCCTACATATTTTTTTGTCTAACCAAGAAATAAATATGCTTGACTACAAAGGAGAGTATATCTACAGCCTGTTACTGCACTTGTTAATAGAAAAATTTTAATGCATTATAATTGGATTGATAGTATCCTCATTTTACCTTTTTGCATTAAAAACTCTCCTAGCTTTTAGAATGCATGCTAGCACTAATTATGTTAATTTTGTCAGCCAAAATTTTCAAAATGATAAGGAGTTTCCCTTCTCAAGACCTTGTATTCCAGTACTCTGAAAATCAAAGACATCAATGCCTCTAAAGTTAGGTAGCAAGAATGCTGGTGTCCAAAATTCTTAAAATTTTTACTATCATTAGGACTATTTAAATTACAAGATTTTGGGGGGGCAGGAGCAGACCTGAGTTGGTACAGCAACCTACACCCACTAAGATTCTGATCACGCAGTATGGATAAGTAATAAAACCACTGTTTGTTACCCCTATAATTTATTTTTAGAAAAATATTTTGACGCTGTCAGAGAAAACTGGAATTTTTATTTTTTGGGCAGTTGTTAGTTGATAAGACCAGAAAGAGCAATGTAAATATGAACTAGGAAATAGAGAGTGAACAGCATGTGGCTACTATAAATATATCACATTATAGCTATTATAGATGGAAAATAGTTTTTAAATGGGTACAACTGCTGCCATGTTGTTTCTGCACTATATGAATAGATAAAAGCATCAATATTTTAATAAAAGTGGATATACATATTTAGCATCTCTACAGAGCCATAAGCATGCATGGTGCTTTACAGATAAATGAAAATGATGTCTTCTTACCCCAAGGAACTGAAAATCTAATTTAGATACAATGCATGAAGAGATGATGAACAGAAAGCTGGATGGGAGGTAAAAAGAGAATATGGATCAGAGTAGTGAAATGCTTTTTACTACAGTTGCTCTTCCTTAATTTTATGTAATGTATGTTAAGGATGACATCTAGACCAAAGATCAAGGCTGCCAATAAAAAGGTAATTGAAACTACTTAGTTTTGAGAAGTGGAACCTTCTAACAGAGATAATAGAGCTTCATAAAGTCTATAGAGGAGAGTAGTTCAAAGAATAGGTAAACTATTGCCAGAGAGAGATGATGGGGAAGAGCAATGAAGTTATTCCTTAATCTGGCTGGTGGAAGATTATTAATAATGCTGATGGGGAAGAAAGAATGAATTAAATGAATTTCAGGTTGCAGAGAGCTGCAAGAAGTAGGCAATGGAAAGAGAATTTAAGTTAGTAGGAACAGAAAGTAAAGAAGCTGAGCATGATGTGATGTGATGTGGGCAGAGGCAAATAAGAGGGAGATGAGCAAGCATAAATGTGAACAAGCAGGGCTAGATTTGGGAGTAAATAGAAAACACATGAACATTTAATTTCGAGTCGGCTGGAAGGTCAATAGTAAAAAATGCAGGGCAAACAGGAGAAATTATTGTGAAAGGAAAGGCATGGGTAAAGTTTAAGATTCAGGCGGTGTTAATTTTCTCCTTAAATATGCTTGAATGAAGCAGAAGAGAAAATGAGATAGAGAGAATGCTGACTGAGATGGGAAGTGCAGAGCAGAACTAAAAGTGACAGTAAGCAAGGTGGTGCAGTTAAGGGAAATTTTTAAAAAATGCACCTTAAGTTAAATGCAGTCCCTTCTGGACAGCTTTTTTGTCCTATTTTTTTTCCCTCAGACTTCTAAGAGTTGTTATAAAACGCTTTATATATTGCCGTCACCGTACACTTTGACCTTGCTCTCATGAACTAACCATTTAGTCTGTGTTGTAGATAGGTACCAGCCTGCTTTTGCTGCATTCCCATGCACATAAAACAGTGAGCTTATAATGCAATACCGTAGTCCATGAAAATATGATTTATTGTTAAATTAAATATGGATGTCATAATGTGAGCCCCTCGGGTCAACTATAAGCTTGAATGTTATTGAAAGAGCTGCAGCGGCGGCTCTGTTTCTTCATTGCCTCTGACAAAAATGCCTCTACAAATAGAACACAACAATGCAGACGTCTTAAGGAGTCTCTGAGATGTGCTGTCCCTGGCATAACATTGCCATGTGACATTTTCAGGAACTATAAATACATCGACTGCATTATAGTGTAAAAGTTAAGAAGCTTTGCAGTAGTCACTGCAGAACCATTAAAACCGAGCTGAATTTGTGGTGAATGCTATGAGGGATTCAAAGCTTTAAAAAAAAAAACAACCCAAACAACAAAAAAATCAAAAAAGAACCAGAATCATAAAGATATAGCTAACATATGTCTTTATCAGATTTTTAATACCATTTTAAATGTCCAGAATATGTAAGTATTATTCCATAAAATTCCAGTTGAATGGCAGTTTTATGACTTCATATTATGACAAGGACGGGCACACATAATTTCTTAGGAAAGATGTCCGAGACCACCTCTAGGCAATAGAAATGACAACTTTGTAGCAGTATTTTCTTCTTACTGAAAGTTTATACCTATTTTTTTCACATTATTCCTCTAACCTGAGTGTTTTAATCTGCAAAATGAGGGCTTTTTTTTTTTTTTTTTTTCCCCAACTCTTAACCAGCAGTTTTCCAATGCAAAACTATGAAGGAACATTTTATTTTTCCAAAACACTCTGTAATCTGCCTTCAAAATATCTTCAGTGAAGATAACAAAACACAGCTGTGTGTTCATGTTGGGAAAATTTCTCCTGGAGCCAGGGTAATAAGAACCTGGTCGGTAAACCAGCAGAAGAGGATCATCTCTCTGAAACAAAGTTATATGTGAGTGGATTTCTTGCTTGCCAGTGTCTTGATTTTTGAGTGAAAAGATGAAGTTATAAGCTGGATTGTGAAATAGCTGCTAGGTGTCTTATGGGCTGGCCCCTGGGGAAAGGGCTGCAGGGAGGTGAGGGAGCTTTTGTATGCTGTTATAAAGAGTGTAAGGTAGGCTGAGTGTAAGGTAGTTGTTGGGAACGTGGATGGAGCCAGCATTTCACGTCCTCACGCAGCACCAGGGATGT